TGTATATTTGTATATGTATATATATGTATATATGTATACATATGTGCGCGCGCGCGTGTGTGTGTGAGTGTGCATATGTGCATATATACATATATATATATACATGTACATAAGTATATATATATAAATATATGTATGTATGTGTTTATGTGTATATGTATATGTATGTATGTATACAGATAGGTAGATAGATAAATATACATATGAATATATATAGTGTGTGTGTCTTTGTACACACACATACATGGTTCTAGGATACTATGCCGTAGGGACACTATGCAGAGGAGAGATCGTTCCGGCGCAGCTCTGCGCCACAGCGAGAGAGAGAGAGAGAGAGAGAGAGAGAGAGAGAGAGAGAGAGAGAGAGAGAGAAGAGAGAGAGAGAGAGAGAGAGAGAGAGAGAGAGAGAGAAAGACGGGGTATTTTCAGTTACATACCCACCGTATTAAAAAAATAAGTAAGCTTTTTAATCATTACACACATATTCAATGAAAATGAAACTAGCCACAATGAGAATTGAAAATAAGCGTGACATTTCGAACTCGTGAAGAGTTCGAAACGTCACGCATATTTTCAATTCTCATTGTGGCTAGTTTCATTTTCATTTTCGTGTACATGTGATTGTGTTTGTGCTTGTGTTCACACATATTCAAGTTATTTAGACCACGACGTGGCCAGAGGCAAAGAACACCTACCCCCAACACCCGCCCTTTCCACAACGCTAAGGTTCCCTAGGTATATTACACGCCCCCCCCCTCTCCCCCTCGCGAGGGTCAACGATCACGCAAACTAATATTTCGCCATGTTTAGTATGAATTTCTCTCGTCTATTAACGGCATTTTCTTGATATTAGCTTAACCCACAGTCCTAACCTAAGCTAACAGGAGGTATCAACCTAAACGTACTAGTTTCAGTTTGGTAACATGAACTCCCTACCGATATTGTTTTTGTTTTTTGAGTAAAAGCAAACATGATGGCAGCAATTACGGAGCCATAACCGTTTTTTTTCTTTCTTAGAAATACACATAGATACACTCGTTGAATCGCGTGCGTGCGCGCTCGGGTGCCCGTCTGTTAAGATGATCCCTTGCCTTCTTTAATGTCAGTGCTATAACGGCCAAGTTAATAATCATGATCCGAAAAACACGAAGCATAAATTCCCGGCAAGGAAAGGCTGGAAAGGCAAAGTGGCCGTTCGCTCGCAAAAAGCCGGCGAGACAACTGGCCAAACAACCTGAGAACAAAGATGCGAGGCCGCTTACTCGCCGGGCCGATTCAGCATGGCTTTCGGTTATCAACCTTTGCTTTCGGAACCGCAATTTCCCTCCCTCCGTGCCCTCCTCCCTCCCCCCTCCTCACTCTACCTCGCTCCCAAAACAGGCATAGAAATAGAGAACATCATCACAGACAGCTTAAACCCTCAAAATAGCCATTAAACAGACCTCGGTGTCCGTGGCTACGCGAACTTTGTCAATATATTTCCCCCCAAAGGGTTAAAAGGCGATTTCACGTACCCTCGCGTGTGGGCCCCCTCGCTCGCATGCTGCTTGCACGCACGCACGCCCTCCCGCGGCCCCGTCCGTGTGTTGGTCGCAGGTTAGTATGTAGCGGATTGCAACATAAAGGGAGTAAATACTGGGAAGCCATAGCATGCATTGGGTGATTGAATGGCGCCGATTCACATGTTATCAAGACTTGTTATCAAGACTTGTCACAAACGAGATTGAAATGTGACAGCCCTTTCAGCTAAAAAACTGATAGATATGTAAAAACAATGAGAAAATAAACAAATACGGACTTAGATTCTGTGCAATGTTTGATCTACAATTACGACAAAAAATGACTTGACTTTGGAGAAACACCGGATCTGTATTTTTTTAAACACGGATTAGCATTGCACTTCCTTTCACACTGACTCAATAATCCCAAATTGGATACTACACATACAAAGATAAACAAAGAGATGGTAAATCTTAAAATATACTAGAATCTATTTCTGCAACTTCGTTTCGCAAAGTCTGCCCTAGGATTCGTACATAATCAGGGTCTTCCAAGAGTTAAACGTTAGTTATGAAAAAGAAAAACGGTGTAACAAAAAATTCGTTTCTTGAATGATACGGTTCCATTTGCGGCTAAGAGTGTAAAGACACGCCCAGCAAAACCCTCTGCGCCACATACTAATATCACTACAGCTGCAGAACCTACTTAAGATGACGGACAGTCACACTTACATACTGCACACCAAACACCACCATGTATTCTTGGATATGAATATTCGGCTCTCGTATGTATGTATGTATGTCTACATGTGCTACAAGTACGTATGAGCGTCTGTATGTGCAGAGACACACCCGAGTCATTCTAACACATATTTACTGCCTGCCATACACACCAGTACAGAGACAAAATTCCCTTTAGCCCCAGACACCAGCATAGGCGGAGGAGGAGGAAGAGGTTAACAACATGGCGATAAACTGGGAAAGACATCTGGAGGATAAATCGAGTGCTTTGACTTCAAATCCAAAGGGCGTTCTTATTGGTACAATTGAGAGTATGATGGTAATATTTGGGAGCGTGAAGGGCGGTAATGGACAACGGCGTGTCCGTTGGAAATGTCTGTTGACAATTTTTTTGCCCCGCCCCCTTCCAGTGAGATTCAGTCAATCGGCCGGTTTGTTAAAATTGTCTCAGGCCCGACCCAATTAACATTCATTATACGGACATGCATATACACAGAAACAAATACATATCTATAAGTCTAGACATGCATATCTACCGTATAAACAGAAAGATGTAAATTCATTTGGTGGATAGATAGATATGCATTTATTTCTGTGTATACTGATGTCTGTATATACGAATACTCATCGTGTCGGGCCTCGCACAATTCTAGCAAACCGGCTGAATGACTTAACTTCAATTCTTTTTATTTCCGTACTGGATTCTTCGATTCGAAACTCGACCACCGCGTTTGAACATACACGGTCCCTCTCTCTCCTCTCCCAAGCCACTGATACCTGGCGACTGAGGAACTCTGGACAAGGAAGTATAATAAAGAGTGAGAACAAGTGAATAACACGAGAGCGAAACCCCAGGGTGATAAATTACAGGCGCGAGTGAAGCAGGTAACCACACACCCCCGGCCGACGCTTCACGGCAGTCACTTGGCTCCTCGGCGCTGTGCCTTTTGTCTCTGTGACGCAAGAACACGCCTACACTCATAAACCTTAAATATACCAAAACACGCATGCACAAACACAGACACACTATACACATATACATACATACAAACACACACACACACACACACAAATACACACACGCACACTATTAAATATATATCTATATATATACACCTATACATACATATATATATATAATATATATATATATATAATATATATGTATATAATATATATATATATATATATATATATATATATATATATATATATATATATATGTTGTATGTGTGTGTGTGTGTGTGTGTGTGTGTGTGTGTGTGTGTGTGTACATAAACACACGTAGATCATGTGTGTGTGTGGTGTGTGTGTGTGTGTGTGTGTGTGTGTGTGTGTGTGTGTGTGTGTGTGTGTGTGTGTGTGTGTGTGTGTGCGTGTGTAATCAAACACACACTACTAAACATACACATGCAGACGCACACATTTTCACACAGGCGATGTTGAGTCATCCCCAGCAAAGGAAAACCGCACGACTCTGAAGATTTAGTGTCAATTAAAGAGTGAAAGTTCATTCAAATTTATGTGTGTATTTTTAGCGTCCTTTGAAAACCTTTCCACTTCATATAATGGCCGTGCACTCATTCAAAAATTCTGTACTATTACCCAGTTATTTTAAAGGGGGGAAGAAAACAACATGAAACTCGACATAAGGTCATTTTAAAGAACAAACACCGCATTCAGCATGGGTGTGGCTAAGGACAGAATGTAACAGGTCTTCAAGGACTAAATCTTAGACTGTTTAGCGTGTTCAGAGCCGTGTGAACTAACCCACATGTTCAGCGAGGGGGGAGTCAATCATGTGGAAAGGTCAGTCCCAATTTCTCGATTACGGTCATTACATACAGCGCATATCTAATATCTAATCACAGATCGGAGTTTCTAGTGATAGCAGACATATCACATATTTCTGTATATCCTAAAGTGGATAGGTTCACGTTGCCTATCCTTAAAAAACGGGTGATATAGACAGGAACATGTATCTAACTGTAATACACAGCGTCTCGCTACTAAAAATTGCCATAGCTTTCCTTTGCTTTCATCTCGTGTTGTCGGTCATGAGGAGGAAACGTTACACTATTTCCCTTCTCCCTGGTGAAGGTGTCATTCATGGAACTTTGTTCCGCCTCTCTCCACCTTTCCACAGCCAACCTGTGACTCCCACCCCCCTCTCGTCTCTCACAGTTAGAACAAGCCTGTTGCTCGTTCCTTCACTCTTTCCCAACGCCAACAATATGGGTAAACTCGGCCCTTACCTTCCTCTGCAGCCGACTGCTCTGTCATTACTCCCGTTTCGCGCACCATCACTAACTTCCCGCCATGTTTGTTTACTTTCACGACCTTTTATAGCAGACAACAGTAGCAGCAGCAGAGCAGCGGCAGCAGCTACTCCACTACGAACATTCCGCAACGTGGCCAGAAGAACAGTAACGTCACTCGCTCTTTCTCGCCGCCGCGCGCCTCACCCCGCTGGCCACGGATGCGCTCTCGTCTTTAGTGAGCGATTTACGTAATGCTAGGGTCCTTCCATGCTCTCATATTATGCGGGGATTATTTACGCTTTTCCTTGCGGGAGAGGATGTGAGGGATGACGTGTTAGAGAGTTTTAACACGGAGAGGTGGTAGGGACGCATTTTGTCTAGAGAGTGTGTGAGGTGCCTTTATTGATCCGTCATACGGCTTTACCCAAAGTCGAGGGAGTTAGGAGTGCTGCTACTACGTAACCCTTAACGTGGCCCTGTCGTAAAAAAATGTCTCACTCTTGCCGCTCACGAAATCTGTACACATGCAATTCACACACTTCAGTCCATGTCATTGTGGGGGAAGTTATAAATTGCCGTTACAGAAGTTCTTTCTGTTGAAATGGTCTGGATGACAATGCTATTATTTATACATTATTTTTTGTTGTTTCTGACAAACTATGCAAATAATGCAGTGTGTTGTGAAAGTATAGTATCATGTTCCATTATTAAGGTACTTGTTTAGAAAGGAACAGACGAATAAATATTCCAGGTATAAAAGTAAAATGTTCACGATATTAACAATCATATCAGAGCATATACATTGTGGAGCTAATAGAGCTAACAGCGTTTTTGCAAACAGATGACTAACTGATATCCTTTTAAATGCTAGATATATATCAATTGTTTTGTGTTTTATAAAGTAAGTGAAATTCATACACTAATCCCAGAGGAGGCCTTCGAAATGTCTGTCCTTAAATTTAATTCATTTATGTCGTATCTCACCTATGCCAACGACATCGAATAACATTTTAAACAACCTGCAAAGAGAAAGCAATGCCTAAACCTTCACAAAAAAAGGAAAAAAAAGAAAGAAAAAGAAAACATGACAAAGCAATGAGACATGCGGTTATGGTCGGCCTGAGATACGATATCCAACAAGCTAGATTTTAAACCGTGGTTGGTTGTGTCTCGCGTGTGCATGCTTTGTGTGTTTCCCTCGAAAGGATGTCTCCCTGTCGTGTGGCAATATATTCAATGTGTGTTTTGGGACCGGAAAACACAGTTCAGACTACACACACATTTATCACTTTTTTGTGCAGTTGCGGTTGATAACGTGGAGATTTAAATGTCATCCTTCGTATGAGGAGAGTGTTATTTGCGTAAAACATTTTCGTTGAAGCTAACATGCACAGAGTTGGATCACAGGCCGATAGTTTTGCCTCCAGGTCATGCAGCAGATACCTATCATTGTTTGTCGGTCATGCAAACACAAGATATAATTTTATTCAGATAATTTGTTATTTTACCCTCCACTGAATTGTTTATTGTATACCTACGTTTCACATTAATGCAATATTGATGAAATGCGAGAAGATAACAAATTAACTTGATCAAGATGAAATGACACAAAAAACAAAAAACATTTACACTTCTGTGCCTGTGAAATCAAACTACAATGTTACCTAAAGTTGATATATGTAATCTGAATCACCAATAAAATACTTTTTTATAATTAAGCATAATTTTAAATTATCATTATTATTTAGCATAACAATAAACACAGTTTTCTTCCTACCAAAACCACTATAATAAACACTGCGTTTCTTTAGCGACGTATAAATATGATTGCAGGTTTCCCATCCTCAATTTATATTCTTCACAACTGCACGATCTCGCCACTCTGCCCGCTGGTTCAAATACTTTTACAGCGGGCAAAGTGGCGTGTGTTTGCTGACTATTGTTAATTTTTCTTTCCCTCGTAGATATGTCGGTCTAGATGTGATTCTTGATCTAGATTTGGTGTGAAGATGAATATGATTTATGTGGATATATTTGGATAGGCCTATGTCTGTCTCTGCTCACTCGAGGTAAAGGTTATGGCGAATGATTGATGCCAAGGTGTTTTATGTGAAGAGCAAATGTTTAACTCGATAATATCTGAATTGACTTGTGATATCTCTAAAGTCTTATCTCGCAACCATTATCAACTTTTTAATGTTTCCCATTAAGCTAAGGAGCAATTGTTCACTTCACTCTTGAACACTATGAGCGGAACAGATTTGGTGTGACGATTCTCATCCGTGAACGAAGTTTCGGCTGTAAAGTTGATCTCTTCACCTGACAACTTCTCGTTCCTCTTTGTTTCCAGCTCGAGTTTCTCAAGAAAGTGTCCTGAGAAATTCTCGAAGGAGCAACAGCACAACGAAAAAAGATTTTTTTCTTAAAACAGGATACAGAGTTCACAGTGGAACCTTTGTGAAGGTATTACAGGACAGAGAGAGAGAGAGAGAGAGAGAGAGAGAGAGAGAGAGAGAGAGAGAGAGAGAGAGAGAGAGAGAGAGAGAGAGAGAGAGAGAGAGAGAGAGAGAGAGAGAGAGAGAGAGAGAGAGAGAGAGGTGGGAGATTAAGAGAGAGATTGAGAGAGCGAGAGAGGGGAGGGGGAAGCCACAAAATAGACATTTAACACAAATACAAACTCTCTTGTTGCTATATTGATATTCATCATTGCAATTCCTGCTCACCTGTGAAAATTCCTGTGATCTAATCTTTGTTAACATTGTTTTTGCCACAAGACACGAAACAGCAACAATATAAACAAAAATATATTTTTAAGTTTAAGTCTGTGTTGCAGGCTGCCAAGGAAATGATACTCGGTTAATAATCTAAAACAACTGAATTTATCATGATTTGGAAACTAGTGATAAACTTTAATCCTCTTGATGTTTTCCGACATAATATAAAGCTATGTGCTGATACTCCTAAATAACAAAATAGATATTGATCACTCTAGCTCCTGTCAAGATCCAGTAAATGAACAGCAATTAACCGAGATAAGAGAGAAGGCTTGAATACCGCAGCAGCTTTGAAATAACCCAGAGTGAGCGATTCGGCCCCAGTTAGGTCACGCAGCGCTCGAGTATTTTTAAATACGTGACCTCGGTTTCCAAAAGGTCACGTGGTGCTGTAAGAAGGGAAGGGAACTCTGTATTAACCTTCTTTCGTCGGAGAGTTCGAGTAAATATAGGATTTTGCAGTTATTTAATACTTTATGTTGATTTAACCTTTGGATCTTTACGTGGGTAGTGTTAAAATGTTGTCGTATTGTATGTTACAACGTTCTTACATTATTGAGATGTTTTATAGCTTGTTCGTCTTTTTTTCTTTTCTTCCATACAAACACAACTCAGTCACTATCTCTCTTCCTATGTGTGTGTGTGTGTGTGTTTGTGTGTGTGTGTGCGTGGTGTGTGTGTTGTGGTGTGTGTGTGTGTGTGTGTGTGTGTGTGTGTGTGTGTGTGTGTGTGTGTGTGTGTGTGTGTGTGTGTGTGTGTGTGTGTGTGTGTGTGTGTGTGTGTGTGTGTGTGTGTGTGTGTGTGTGTGTGTGTGTGTGTGTGTGTGTGTGTGTGTGTGTGTGTGTATGGTGTGTGTGTGTGTGTGTGTATGTGTATGTGTATGTGTGTGTGTGTGTGTGTGTGTGTGTGTGTGTGTGTGTGTGTGTGTGTATGCGTGTGTGTGTGTATGTATGTTGTGTGTGTGTGTGTGTGTGTGTGTGTGTGTGTGTGTGTGTGTGTGTGTGTGTGTGTGTGTGTGTGTAATATATACATATATATATATATATATATATATATATATATATATAATATATATATACACATTATACACACATAGGCAGGCACAGTAGCACACTAAGAGGTTCCTTGCCATTGTGCTTAAAAAGAAAAGTCTTTAATCAATGCGTCCTCCCAGTTATGACCTATGGGTCAGAAACATGGACTACAACCAGGTTACTGGAGAGGAAACTAATAACAGAGAGGGATGGAAAGATCGATGATGGGAATTAGCCATCGGAAGAGGGCGACGTGGATCAGAGAACAGACGAAGGTAGAAGATATACTCAGCATTAAAAAGAAGAAATATATGTATGTCGGAGACAAGACGACAGATGGACAAAGAAAGTAACAACTGACTATAAATAACTTAAGGAGGCCAAGAGCCAGACCAATGACACGATATAGCGAAATTTGGGGGCCAAGACTGGAAACAAACATCGCAAGACAGGGAAACCTGGAAAAGAATGGGAGAGGCCTACGTCCTGCAGTGGATTGACTCAGGCTGATGATGATGATGATGATGACGTATATATATATATATATATATATATATATATATATAATATATATATATATATATATATATATATATATCCGTGTGTGTGTGTTTGTGTGTACATACACACACACACATACGTATATATGTATATGTTCAGCCAACCACACCGAACGTACTGTAAGCCTACTGTATGTAGTGGGTGTGTAAACACGATTACGCCAAGAATCTTCAAATGTGAATTTTTTTTCAAAGTATTCCGCGATGGCGTTGGAGAGAATTCTTGACTATCTATAATAAATGTTTCAATCGTTAGCTGTCATATTTTCATTAAAAATTGTGGAAAATAGTTTCATCATATCTGATAAGGTTTTTTTTTTTTAAACTTGATGTATACACTACTCTCACATAATTGCCGAATATGGCTGCGTAAAAGTCGATCGGCGCATAAGTCGACCCCTAAAATTTTGATGTGTAATTCAAGTTTAGGTCTATATTCGCCGAATAAGACGATCTCCAAAAATACAGCAGCTCCACTTCTCCAGCCCTATTGTATAGAATAGTATACACCAGCCTAACCTTACCCTAACTAGCTTAACCTACCTTCTGAGTGGTCACTGATACTGCAGTCTCTACGTTAAACACTTACCAAACAAGAGTCGTAGGAAACAAATTGTGGGCTGATAGACTTGTGGGAAGTGGTGTGGAACGAGCGATAGGCAGGTGATTTCACTTGTTTACCCCTCAGTGGCCGCCCTGGAGCCGGCTAATAAAAGTTTGCTAACGGGAACGTGCGATTAACCGCGGGCAGTGTGTGGCCATAGATGTTTGCCTGTAATTCATTCCTTACCGATGTCACGAGGGAGCTCTGAAGAGGTGACAGGGGTGGTTTTCTTCCTGC